CTCCGTTTTGGACAGAATTTGGATTTCTAGCAAACGGCCTGAGTTTGGGCCTCATTCTGTCGTTGGCATAAGCTTGAGATCTGAAAGAGTACTTGGTCTCAAGGGATTTCAGCCATTTCCCCTCCTCCCCCACCTTTGACAGGACCCCGGCTTCTGCCGCTCCTTGTCTGCAGATGCTCTGATGCCTGCCCAGGGCAAGATAAGAATATGGAGTATCTTCTGGGCTATCAGGTCTTCTACCCACGAGAGGCTGAACCCCAGGGTGGGGGTCTCAGGCGAGGAGAACTTTGGGATTCTTTGGGTACCAGGACATTCTCTCTTCCCTAGGACCACACGATTTGCCTCTTTCCCTGACTACCTGGTCATCCAGATCAAGAAGTTCACCTTCGGCTTAGACTGGGTGCCCAAGAAACTGGGTATGGTGGCTGGGACGAGTGAGGGAGGTTACGCAGAAAATGCGAGAAAAAGAAGGGGCCTTACCGTGTGTAAACTAGTGATTCTCCACCTTTTCTCCAAAGGAGGAAAACATAACCCTAAATGTTTCAAAATGAGCCGAGTTTGAAAAGCACGGACTAAAAATATTAAGACACTTGATTTTACAGTGATGATTACAACCAAAAGCGGTTTTCATAGTTTTACTTTTGTACTTGGTAAGAGGTTCTCATTTAGATAATCTTGAAACGGTTCTCGTGAGTCTTACAGCCCCTGATGACTTTGAGAACTCCTGATTTCACTTCGTGTCCTAGATAAGTCGAGACCCACAGAGGTATGAGATCATTGTGTTGTACAAGTTGGAGGCCCCCGTCCTTGTCCGTAGTGCACCTGAGGCAGATCTAGGACTAGAATCCAGGCCTCCTGATTCCCAGGCCCACCATTACATTACACGGGGACCCCTGCGATTGGTACCGCTCTGAGCAGCTCCTTATTCCAGAGCAGTGCCAAGGTGTGGGGCAGGGCCTTGAGGATCCCCAAGTGCTTTCTCAGGGAGGGCCCCAGGGAGCTGGGGAGGTGACCCTTTTCCCACCGTTCCAATTACAGATGTGTCCATTGAGATGCCAGAGGAGCTAGACATCTCCCAGTTGAGGGGTACAGGGCTGCAGCCTGGGGAGGAGGAGCTGCCTGACATTGCCCCACCCCTGGTCACTCCGGATGAGCCCAAAGGTAGCCTTGGTTTCTATGGCAACGAAGACGAAGACTCCTTCTGCTCCCCTCACTTCTCCTCTCCGACATGTTAGTGACTCTTCTTCCTGCCTGTCTCTCTCCTTTGCTGATGGGGGTCTTCTCTGCCTGCCTCCCCTTGACCCTGTCCTTCGTGTTTCTCCTGTCCTCCCTTTCAAATTTCCCCTGCCCTCCTGATGGACGTGAGGGCCGACTAGGGCACTCCCCGCCACTTTCTCTGTGTGGATGGCAGTAGCCCTGGCCGCTTGCTTCTCTGCCCTTGTCACCTCAGTGCATGGGGGTGGGGAGAGGCAGCATACTCCAGAAACGGGGCCCATTCTGTGAGAATGGGCGAGGAGGGGATCCACGGGAGAGCTTTAGCCTCAGTTCTGTGTCTGTAGTCCTGCGGCCCCCACATTATGGCGTGTCGCCATTTTAGTTCTGGAGTAAGGTGCCAGGCCTTGGAAAGGAAATGCATGGAACCAGGGTTGGGGGGGGGTGTTGGGAGAGGGCCAGAGGGCTGAACTGTGGGAGGCAGAAGGAGCAGATAGTGGCCCAAGGAGTTGGGTCACCGTGCCCTCACTTCTCCCCCCACAGCACCCATGTTGGACGAATCGGTCATCATCCAGCTGGTGGAGATGGGCTTCCCTATGGATGCCTGCCGCAAGGCTGTCTACTACACGGGCAACAGTGGGGCTGAGGCCGCCATGAACTGGGTCATGTCACACATGGACGACCCAGGTAGGCTGGGGTGGGCGGCAGGGTGGAACGGGGCCCCTGTCCTCCCACACACACTTCAACCCCTTCACCCCCGCAGATTTTGCAAACCCCCTCATCCTGCCTGGCTCCAGCGGGCCTGGCTCCACGAGTGCAGCAGCTGACCCCCCACCGGAGGACTGCGTGAGCACCATCGTTTCCATGGGCTTCTCCCGGGACCAGGCCCTGAAAGCTCTTCGGGCCACGGTATGGGCTGCCCCTGGCTGAGGACCGGGGGCCGGTGGGGAAGAACCGGGTGGGGGTGAGGGTCCATCCTTTGTGAGCCAGACCCAGGACGACTGGTGTGGGACGGCCGAGGCTCGGGCTCCACCCTTTTATGGCTGTGTTGAAGGAGTGGAGGCCTTCACTGGTGGTCTTTCTGGCCCTGAACTTGTTGGAAAGAGTAATGTTTCCCTCCTCTCCAAGAACAATAGCTTAGAAAGGGCCGTGGACTGGATCTTCAGTCACATCGATGACCTGGATGCAGAAGCCGCCATGGACATCTCGGAGGGCCGCTCAGCTGCCGACTCCATCTCCGAGTCTGTGCCAGTAGGACCTAAAGTCCGGGATGGGCCTGGAAGTGAGTGTCCCTGGGAAACAGGATGGGCCGGCGGAATCTAGCCAGTCTGCTACCAGCTCCTCATTCCAAGGCAGCTCTGCTTCCCTCAGGGGGCAGAGGGGGCAGAAGCTTCTTTCCACTGGCGTGGCTTTGGAAGGTGGGCTGCTAGGAGGCCGAGACAGACTTGTGACCCAGTTGCTGCCCCCCAGTCCCTGAGATTGGTGTCCTGAGTTTGGGCTGTTAGATGCATCTTTGCACTGGCGCTCAGGGATCCCTCTCTTTGTCTTCTCTAGAGTATCAGCTCTTTGCCTTCATCAGTCACATGGGCACCTCTACCATGTGTGGTCACTATGTCTGCCACATCAAGAAGGAAGGCAGGTGAGGGGCTGGCAGGGTACGTTCTGAACCGGGGAGTGCTGGTGGGGATGAGTGGGGGCATCCTGGGAGTCCTTAGAATATTTGCGGGAGAAGGTAAAGGCCTGCTGGATGGGGGCGCGTAGAGACAGCAGAAAGTGATAGAACGCCTGACAGCAGGGATCGGCAAACGACAGACAGCCCAAGGCCACCTGCTTTTCTAAGTAAAGTTTCAACGAGCATAACCACACTTACTCATATATGTATCGTCCGTGGCTGTTTTCACGCTGCAACAGGAAAGTTGAGTAATTGTGTCAGAGACCGGATGGCCTGCAAAACCTAAACTACTTACTGCCTGGCCCTTTCCAGAAAAAGTTTGCGGACCGGGGCCTGACAGGAATGGGTGGGGGTGGCCGTAGAGGGACTGGAGGATTTGAAGACTCGAGCAGGGAATGGGATTGGGATGCTCCCTTGAGGCAGGTAGCAGCTAGCCTGTAGGTGTGGGGGCCCAGGCTGAGAACATTGGGAACCTTTGGCCCGGAATCACCGGGATCAACTCCAGGGGCTATGTCAGAGACTAAGTTGATGCAAAGTGGTTGCCCAGTCTGTTCTTCCTTCTCTACCCTGCCCCTCCCCTCTTCCCCAGATGGGTGATCTACAATGACCAGAAAGTGTGTGCCTCCGAGAAGCCACCTAAGGACCTGGGCTACATCTACTTCTACCAGAGAGTGGCCAGCTAAGAGCCTGCCCTGACCCCTTACCGCTGAGGACAGGGGACGGACCATCTGGCATGAGGGACAGGGGCTGAGGGATGGACTTCAGCCACCCCCTCCCCTGCTCTGTACCCTTTTTCTTTTTGTCCTCAGCAGCAGGGAAGAGGCTAGAGGCCATAGGAGAATGGCCAAGCAAAGCGGGGGACACTCGAGAGACTTTGGGGATAGAGCAGGAAGGGGATGGGAGGGGCTGGCCACCTGTCTGTGAGGAGACATTGTTGCTTTCCCCGCCCCTTGAACCCACAGTGCTCTGCTTCTCTGTGTAATCCTGCCGGCCCCTGGTGTGGAGGGGGGCTTGTTTGTGTGTGCGTGCGGGTGTAGCTTTGTGCGGCCTCTTCCACAGGAGGGGGCGTCCGGGCCTCCCCTCCCTCTTTGTGTTTGCTCCCTGTGTGGTCAGGCAAGGAGGGCTGTGAGGGAAATGGGGATCCCCCTCGCCCTCCAGCCTGTCTTTCCCCCACCCTGTCTCTTCCCTGCCCTTCTCTGGAAAATGCCAAAATACACGATGTGAATAAAAGTACAATGGCTAAGTCGTGTCCTGTTTGGTACCCTGAGGGAGACTGATCTTGCCTGGGGCTAGCAGGAGAGCGGCCTCTGCCCCTTGCCTGTCTCTGCCCCCTCCCTGGGCAGTTCTCTACTTTCACCAGTTGTAGAGCTCTTGGGAAATGGGCTGTGAGATGAGGTGGGGCCAGCACTGGGGCAGTAGAAAAAAGCTGAAGGGTGGGGGCTGTCAGACCAGGGGCAGTGGAGTAGGGTGACACAGAGCAAAGATGGGGGTGGAGAACTCTGTCTTCCCTGCAGCAGTCGCCCCGGAGGGGTCCCAAGGGGGTATTTCCCAACTGTCTCGGGTGCCCTAGGCCCTGCAGCCACCCTCTCGGGTGGGCCAGCTGGAGCGGAGAGTGGGACACCCCGGGGCGGGGGGCGTGCGGGGGGTCCGAACTGCCTGCACAGTTCGAGCCAGTGCGGGCCGTCCTCCCCCTCTGAACCCTGCGACCGGCCCGTAACTGTAGGACCGCCCTCCCCCGGTAGGTCAAAGGTGCCCGCCCGGCAGTCAGGGATGCAGCTGCTCCGACGGGGGAAGGGAGGTCCTTTTCTCAGCTGGAGATGCCCCCTCAGAGCTCCCTCGGTCCCGTGCCATCTCAGGCCACGCAGTCGGAGCCCAAGCTCCCCTTGGAAGTACCCCTGGCCCTCTGGGGGTCTGTGGTCGTGAAGTGGGGCTCCCCTGAGTGCGGGTTCTCGCCCCCTCCCAAAAGCCAGGCCATGGGGCCGAAGCGCCTGAGTCCTGGACGCCCCTGGAACGTTGCTACAATCGGGGGGGTCACGTCAGAGCATTGCTGCAGCGGCGGCGGGCGTGAGCGCCGGGCGGGGCTGCCAGGCGGGCGGCGGGCGGGGCTGCCAGGCGGGGGGCCGGGCTAACCATGGCCGAGGGCGGGGAGGAGGCGGAGTTCTGCCTCACCGCGCTCTACATAAGCGGCCAGTGGCAGCGGCTGCGCGGTGCGTCTGACCTTCAGTGTGTCGGCTCCAGCGCCATGGCGCCCTCCAGGAAGTTCTTCGTCGGGGGAAACTGGAAGATGAACGGGCGGAAGAAGAACCTGGGGGAACTCATCACCACTCTGAACGCGGCCAAGGTGCCGGCCGACACCGGTAAGCCCTCGCGGGGCCGGGGCCGGGGCCGCGGCCGGGGGTGGGGGGAGGTCGGGCGTGGCGGCGCCCTCTCCCGAGCCCTCTTAGCCGGGCGTCCGCGCGGACCTGGATGCAGGGCTGGGCACGAGGGCTGCTGGGGCTCGGGACTTTGACCCCGCCGCGCCGGGGCCTCGCAGCCGCAATACCCGGGGTGTGTCGGGGGGGGAAGGCGGGGCCACATGTAATGGTGCCCTCCGGCCATGGGGCGGGGGAGGATTTCTTGGGTCACCGTGGGCGAAGATGGCCCCGGGGCACGGACCGGGGCCGCACCCGACAGGAGCCGGGCATGGGAGCGGAGCCCCTGCGGACGATCACGGGAGGCCGGCGACAGCCCCGGCGTGTGGGGGAGGAGGCTGAGCCTGCGTGCGGGGATCCAGCTACCTGCCCCCTCGGCCGTCTGCTCCGTGCGCCGCCGCACGTAGCCCGCGACTCCTCCCCGCGCCTCGCTGGGCGGGCCGAGTCCCCCAGCCGGGCGGCGGTGGTCTCCTGAGCTCCCCGGCTCTATCCTTTACCGTCGCCGGCCCGGATGGCGCCTGCCTTCCGACGAAGGGGCTGAGCAGGTGTCAAACAAGATGGTCTATTGGGGAATGAGGAGCTGCAGGCTGGAAACGGGAAAGCGCAAGGCTTCGTTGAGCTGATCAGCTCCCTGCCACCCACAGGCAAAGAGTGCTGTCCTCTCCCCTTAACCCTCCCACCCCCCTAAATCACAGAAACACCGGCCTGATCCAAAGAGGCCCTGGTTTATTCCCCCAAAGACCCCAATACAAACCCCAGGAGTTGGCTCCTTCTGCTTTTGCTAAAAAGCCTTGCCTGGGGGTGGTAGGAATGGGCTATTTTAGAAAGGGAGGCGTTGTTGGCTCCAAGAGAATGCTGAGTCTAGGAGGTGCCCAGGCCCAGAATAGCCTGGGGAAATCAGAACCACAACTGTTAAAGAGCAGAGGGCAGGGCGAGGGCCATGGCCTCCCAGGGACACTTGGAAGGCTCAAGGAGTTGGGTACAGGCCCAGCCTGGGCTGGGAAGTGGACAAAGATGATCTTGCTGGAGTGAAAAGGGGTGGAAGGCAGAACTGAGAAATCAGGTGAAGGCGAGGGGACTCCAGAACACTGGAGGGAGTCTGGAGAATGACTTCCTTGTGACCTCATCCCCTTGCGCCATCATGTCTCCTCTCCAGAAGTGGTTTGTGCACCCCCCACCGCCTACATCGACTTTGCCCGGCAGAAGCTGGATGCCAAGATTGCTGTGGCCGCGCAGAACTGCTACAAAGTGACGAATGGGGCCTTTACTGGGGAGATCAGGTGAGATGCAGGCAGGAGGGGTGCGCGTGGGGACCCTGCCCTCGCTTCCCTCATTGAGGGGAAAGTCACAGGGTGGGCTCTCTGCTGAAGCCTGGCTTTCTCTCATCCTTTAGCCCTGGCATGATCAAAGACTGTGGAGCCACATGGGTAGTCCTGGGGCACTCAGAAAGAAGGCATGTCTTTGGAGAGTCAGATGAGGTTAGTAACCAGGAGGGGAGGTAAATGCTGCCTTACTCCAAGAGGGGTGGCTCACCAAATCTGTTCGTCCACAGCTGATTGGACAGAAAGTGGCCCATGCCCTGGCAGAGGGACTTGGAGTAATCGCCTGCATTGGGGAGAAGCTAGATGAGAGGGAAGCTGGCATCACTGAGAAGGTTGTTTTCGAGCAAACCAAGGTCATCGCAGGTAACTCTGGAGAAGGGGACCTTTGAGCCTGGCCAGGGCTACGGGGGCACAGAGGGTGGGGTCAGATGCCCTGCGGCCTGACTTGATCCCCATCCTGTGCTGATACAGGAAAGGAAGGGGGAGGGGGAGGACCCTTGCATCCTTCATATCACATCTGTTCCTGCCCAGATGGTATAGATGCCACTTGGAGTTCCTCCCACAGCCACCAGGGGGCATTAGGCCACCATCGTTCTTCATTCCGTGGGCAATGGGCTGGCTAGCTCCTCCTAGTTCACCATTCATCTGTGATCTGTCCCACAGATAATGTGAAGGACTGGAGCAAGGTTGTCCTGGCCTATGAGCCTGTATGGGCCATTGGGACTGGCAAGACTGCAACACCCCAACAGGTAACCGAGCCCAGGAGCTCTGCCTCTCCCCTACCTGCCTCGGTAGGACTGGACTGCAACACAGATCATCTGAGCCAACCCCTAATTTTAAAGACCGGAGCCCCCAGGGCACCTGTCTGGCTCAGTAGGTAGAGCATGTGACTCTTGATCTTGGGGTCGGGAGTCCGAGCCCCATGTTGGGTGTAGAGATTACTTTAAGATAAAAAATAAAATACCTAAAAATAATAATAATAATATAGTGGTCAGCCTGCAGCGGGGCGAGGGCCATGGCCACGCCCACCACGGCGTGGGTCCCCTTCTGTTCCCGGGGCCAGCTGATCACCCAGGCATGCAGTGACCTATAATCAGTGACCCCCCTGATTGTAGCAACGTTCCAGGGGCGTCTGGGGGCTCAGGCGCTTCGGCCTCATTGCCTGGCTTTGGGAGGGGGCGAGAACCCGCACTCAGGGGAGCCCCATGCACAAGGAGAGTGACTTGTCCAAGGACATCCATTCCAGGGTCTAGATGGGACTGGAGCTATGGTATTCTGACTCAGATCTCAGGGTTCTTGCCCCAAAACCACACTGCCTCTCTTCACTGGGGCCCAGGGTCTTTTAGCCTTTGAGTGAGAGAGGCAGGAAAAGGCTTACTTCATCTGGCTTCTTCTAGGCCCAGGAAGTACACGAGAAGCTCCGGGGATGGCTTAAGTCCAACGTCTCTGACGCGGTGGCTCAGAGCACCCGTATCATTTATGGAGGTAAGTGGGTTTGGCTCCCGCCTGAGATAGGGGTGGACTCGGCCCTCCTATCCCATCCCTGCCCATTTCCTCTCTCTTCTCCCTTCCCAGGTTCTGTGACTGGAGCAACCTGCAAGGAGCTGGCAAGCCAGCCTGATGTGGATGGCTTCCTCGTGGGCGGGGCTTCTCTCAAGCCCGAGTTTGTGGAGATCATCAATGCCAAACAATAAGCCCGTCCATCTCCCCTGTTCTTCCTAAGTCAGGGACTAGTAGCTCAGAAGCTCAGTAACTGTGTTCCCCTCCACCCCCTACCCCGCACTTGCTTCTGATGGTGTCACCTGCCCCCTTTGTGGCCGAAGTATACGTCTTCCTCACCGTTTACACCTTGCCCTGTAATGTTGGGACCAGGTCCATCCCTTCTCTACAGAACTGTAATGGTCAGAACGAAACATGTCACCAAGGTGGCTTCTCCTTGGCTGAGAGGCAGAAGGGGTGGAATTTGCTCGTGAGCCCCCTCAGCGTCCCCAGTGAGGGCAGGAGAGAAGCCATCCTCTTCTCCCATCTCACTCCCTGAGGCCGGGGGCTGAGAGAAAACCCTGTCCTCCCCTCAGAGGCCAGAGGGGCTGCTTTCTCCCATGGTACCAGCGCCCATGTGTGGTGTGTGTGTGTGAGCAATCCCGCGTGTGGGGGGAAATAAACACCTGGCACTGAGCCTTGTGGCGTGTCCTTCTTCGCTGTACTTGCCCATATCCTCTTTGTCCTTTTTGAGGCAGCCCCAGGACACTTGTACAGAAAAATAGCACAAACAGGTTTCTACAATAGCACATCTCTTAACTGTTTTTACTTGAAAAAATGTCTTGCGTACCAGGCGGCCATAGCCTCGAATAGGGGCTCCCTCCTGCCCCCCACTCTGGGCGGCTCGGGGGCTGTTGGATCCCCAGAGCCTGGGTTGGGGTAGGGGCCCCGCCTCACTGGCTTTAAGCAGCTGGTCCAGGCTGGCGGTGGCTCCTCCCCAGCCCCCAGGGGAGCGGTGGCCTTGAGGCCCCAGCACCATCTGCCTTCACAGGAGTCACTGGTAGAGCAGGTAACGCTTCATGGCGGGGGGCAAGGGGAGAGCAGACACCTGGCCAAGCCGGGTATCCCCCAGGGTGTGGCGCACACACAGGCGGCTCAGGTGCAGAAGGGAGTGTGGCTCCGCTGGCGGGGAGAGAAGGAGGGGAAGGTAAGTTGGGGTGCAGCCACCAGCCAGACCTCCTCACACTACAGGGTCCTGCCCGAGTTCCCTTCTGCTTTCCTGCTCTGAGTCTTGGTTGAGGGGGAGATCTAAGGCACCCTGAAGCTCTGCACCTGTTCTTGCAGTGGGAGGCGTCACAGATTGCACACATCCCCAGTCCGCTGTGGGTGAAGCTCTAGCTAAGGCTCCCCACTAAGCAACAGGCCAAGGAAGCTTGGACTATGGCAGAGCTAGTCCAGGCTTTGATTCCATAGAGCCTTGGAGCTGGGGGGCTGATGAGGTGAAAGGAATGATGGTGCTCCTCATTCAAATAGCTCACCACGGAGGAGGGAAGGAGAGGTACCCACCCTCTGCTGAAGACTGCAACTGCAGGGCACAGTGAAGTTCCATCAGTCCGGAGCCCTGGCCCCATCCTTTCTAGAAGAGGCCCCACCCGAAGGCCCTGCCTCCTTGCCTACTCTCCTTCCAGATGCCCAGGGCCTCAAAGGCCCCTTCCTGGGGTCCAAGGACGGAAGTAGCACAGACAGGTCAGAGCCCAGGGGATCTGGTCCACACCCTGGGTGCTTGGCACTGCCCATCCTCTTCCTACACCTCGCCCAGTACCCATTTAACCCTGTGCCATCTCTTGCTCCAGGAGCTGATACCTGCTGTAAAAGCCCTCATCCCTGGAGTGCCTCCCTCTAAGTAGCAAATGGCTTTTCCGAGCCTCACTCTCGTCTCCACTGCTGCTGGGAAGATAGTTAAGTAACAGCTGTGAAGCCCTTTCGCCGTTCCCCGCACTGAATAGAAGTAGGAGGCAGGTGACCTGAAGGCCCATTCCCTCTGCTCTTATAAGGTGTCGAGCGAGCTTCCATCCCAAACCACAGCCACCAGTAACAGAACATTCTCCCCACACCTGCCCCACGGCTCACCTCTCCTTCCGCCCAGGTAGCTGATGCGGACCTGGCACTGGCCCCAGACAGCGCTTACTGCCGGATACAGGGTCCTGCCCTTCAGTCCGCGGAAGGCTGGCCCCAGGTAGGTGCCCCCAATAGCGTAGCCTAGAGTTCCCTCCTCCATGTCCAGAACCACCAGCAGCCTCTCCGGCACCTCCAGCTGCTCACCATGAGGTCTGGCTGGATACTGGGGGGCCCCGGGCCCCTTGCTCTGATGATACAGCTTCCCCCGCCCAATGTCCCAGCCCCACGACTCGCTGTTGCTGCCCAGCAGCGCCGCATAGTGGTCAGCCTGCAGCGGGGCGAGGGCCGTGGCCACGCCCACCACGGCGTGGGTCCCCCTCTGTTCCCGGGGCCAGCTGATCTCCCAGGCGTGCAGGCCCCTCGAGTAGCCTTTCTTACCCCGGGCCCCGTCAGTGCTCTGGGCCACGGGCCGCCGCTCAAAGCATAACCCCCCTTCCTTGACCTCGATGTTCTCTGAGCAGTCCTTGGGGTTCCAGCCGTGCCGCTGTTGGGCTCCCAGATCAGGACGGGGAGCAGACAGTAGCTCCTCCAAGCCCTCGGGACAAGAGAGGTCAGGGTACAGGGTCTGTGGGGTGGGGGTGCTGCTGCTGCCCCCTGCCAGGGCCGTCTGGCCCATGGAGGTGAGGAGCTGAAGGAATCCCCGAGTCTTGCTGGGGCGCCTCTCTTCTCAAAGTTGAGCTCCGGCTCGGGATTGACCTAGAGAGGAGTTGGGAGAAAAGAGGGTTTCAAGTGCGGGATCCTGGCGGCGGGTCCTCGCCCAGGCGCCCCCATCCTTTCACGCATGTTTGCCCACCACTTCTCCCCTCCCCTCCCTCTTGGCTCCCCGAAAGCTCTTAGGCCCATCACCTTGCCCTCGCCCATCTGTCCCGGTCTCCCGAGACTCTCACGAGTTCGCCCCCTTTGGACCTCTCCAGGGCCATCCCCTTTCCCCACCCCGTGCCCCGTCACCGCTCCCGAACCTCGCTTGGCTTCCCAGGCCCGGAGGTCACCGGCCCTCAGCAGGAGCTCAGCCGAGGGTAGCCGAGCCGCGCCGGGCGCAGACTGCCGGCAGCTTCCGCCTCCAGCACCTCCCCCGGTCTCGCCCCGCCCCGGGCCCCGCCCCCACGGGGGCCCGCCGGGGCGGTTAACCCTCTCGTCGCCGCCCTAGGTCGCGCCCCGCCCCGTGGCCACGCCCCCACGGGGGGCTCCTCGCGGGCGGTTAACACCCCAGTCCGATCGCTGCTGTGGAGGGCACGCCCCGCCCCGAAGACCCGCCCCCCTAGAGCCCATTCCCGGACGGTTAACCTGTGGCCCCCGACTCGAGGTCTCAGCCCCGCGTGGGGGCCCTCCCGGCTGGTTAACCCTTCTTGACGGCCACGGAGTCTGCACCGGGCTGTTGAGGCTCAGAATGAACTCTTTGGTAGTATCACCTCTTTGGGATCCCAGGAAGTGTGTTCTCCATCGTCAAGACCTTTGAGCCGCTTGGGCAACCAACCCCTGAGCTCCTAGAGACGAAGGGCATGGGGTCAAGGAGGGGCTTCCACTGTGCTGAAATCTATCTCTATGTCCCTTTGATTCTGGGCGACTGTTTCTGGACTGGTCTCTTTCTGCCCCACTTGTGAGTCGGTCTGTTCTATGCCTGAGGTTCTGAACTCTGTTTTTGGAGGTAGGTGTCCTGAGGCTCCATGCTGTGCTAGTCTTCATCTTGGGTGTCAGTCCATTCCCGAGCCGTTGGTCTCATATGGTGGAGTACAGTGGTTAGACTTTGGTTGTGAGTGAAGCTCTATGACCTTGGGGGAGGGTTCGACAAACTTCTCTAAACCTGTTTTCTCTCTTTTTTTTTAAGAGTTATTTATTTATTTTAGAGAGAGACGGGGAGAGGGGCAAAGGGTGAGGGAGAGAACCTCAACCCTGCTGAGCACAGACACTGCCCCCGGACTGGGGGCTCCAACCTAGGACCCTGAGATGATGACCTGAGCCAAAATCAAGAGTCAGACGCTCAACCCACTGAGCCACTCAGGCGCCCCAAACCCATTTTCTTTTATGTAAAATGGGAATAATGATGGTACTTAACTCATAGGATTGTTGTGGAATTGAAATAATCTAGGTAAAGCACTTAGCACAGAGTCTGGTACCTATTATACAATCACTAAGCATAACTATTATTGTTAACATTTACTAGGTGTCCGTTCTATAGAAAGGCAATGTAATATAGTGATGAAGGATGTCAAATGTGGAGCCAGGCTAACTGGGTGTGAATACCTGAAGGCCAGTATGCGTGTGACCTTGAGCAAATTACTTAACTTCCCCAATACCTGTTTCTTCCTCTTTAAAGTGGAGATACTGTTGGGACCTACTGCATAGGATATAGTGAGGATTCAGTGAGGTTATATACACGTGAACTCAGAGCAGTTTCGGGTTCAAATTTAATCATTTGTGCTAACCACGGATGATACAACAGTGAATCCCCAAGGAGGTTACGAGGACATTTATAAAACAGTTTATCATGTAGTAGATGAAATTATGGAGAGATAAAGAAAGTCTTATGGGAGTCAAAAGGATGGGACTCCTAACCAGGGATCAAGCAGTTAGGCAGGTGTCCTGGAGGAGGTAACACTGGGCTGAATCTTAAAGAATGATTAGGAATTGGCCTGTGAGGTAGTTCTGCAGGATGGGGGTTGGGGTAGGGTTGCTACATGAAGAAAACATTCCAGACGGTGGAGTCAGCATGAAAAAAGGCAGAAGCAGGAGCTGGGTTTGGGGAAGTTTGAAGACTTCAGGGTTCCTGCAGCTAGAAAGGAAGCACGAGAGACAAGCCTAGAGAAGTGAGTTCTAGATGACAGTGGCCTTGTTGGCCAAGTTAAGGAATGCAGATATTCTCCTGTAGGACAGGCCAGTAATGGGGAGACACATACGAAGGAAACAGGAGAGAAACATGGTCAGATACTCATTTCAGAAAAACCACCCTGGGGGTACCTGGCTGGCTCAGTCGGTAGAGCATGCGACACTTGATCTGGGAATCATGAGTTAGAGATCCACGTTGGGTGTAGAGATTATTTAAAAAAAAAGAAAATTGGAAATACCATCCTGGCACAACAACATCAAGGAGGTTTCAAGGGGAATAGGACTAGAAGCAAAGAGACTTATTACAGCAGCCCGAGGGACCAGTGTCAAGAGCCTGAAATAAGGAAGAAAAAAATTCAAGAAACGCTGATGAAACTGCAAGATATGGTGACTGATTAGAGGCTGAGGTGACAGAAAAGGAGGTTTAGCCTGGAACACTGTTGGAAGGTGCTATGTTAATGACGATGGAGGTGACAGAAAGACAAGCCACTGGAAAGGGGCAGGGGAGTGGGGGAGGGATGGTGAATTCACTTTAGGACATGTTTTTGAGGTGCCTGAGCAACAACCTGATGAAATCATCGAGAACACACATGAAAATTGCAGGTCTGCGGGGGTAGTAAGAGGCCTGGGCTGGAGATAGAAATTTGGGAAGTGTGACATTCTTTAGTCAGAAGCTGAACTATGAGAATCAGAGA